CCGGGACTCCAGGATCATGACCTGAGCCGAAGGCAGTCGCTTAACCAACTGAGCCACCCAGGCGCCCCCCATTTGGGTACTTTTTTTCTGTGTGTGTGAGGGCTCGTACTGCTTTGTGGTGGGTTTTTTTATTTAGTAAGATGATGAACATTCTTCTAAAATGATTTTTATCACTGAATAGTATTATATTCAGTGTATATATATATAAATTATGCTGCTCGGTTATAATTCATACCTGCTTGAAAATTTACAAATGTGTCTTCAAACAATTTACAGTCAAAAAGTGAAGTCCCGATTTCTTCATAGTCTGTAGGGAGAAACACATTTTCAGTTCTAATTTAAATAATTGATATAGACAGAAACCCCTTACAAACTAACCCCAAATAAGGAAAAGTACACAGAACAGTCCGGCACTGTGCGACTTCAGTCTCACACCGGAGGAGCGGCAGTGTCCCCGGGGACATGGTGGAAATGCAAATGAATGGCTCCGCTCCCACATCAGAAGTTCCAGAGGTGAGGCCCGCTTACTAGTTTTCACAAGCCCTCTAGGGACTCTGAGAGGCATGTTCAAAGTTTGAGAAGTACTTAGTCTCAAGTAAAGAGGAAATGAATGAAAGAATGTAATGAATGAATTTTTGGAAGTTTCCTTTTAATTTCACTTTTTGGTTTTGTCCTATAGAAAATAATCCCTTTCAAATAATCATAGACTTTACCTTGGTGCCTACAGTATAGACTGTCAAGCTTTTCCTTGCAAAATAACTGCATTTATCATAAAGTTTTTAAGCTCACAGTGTAGGGTCTAAGAAGGCTAAGTGGCTATATACTTGCATATACAAATGGAACTTTGGCTTCTCAAAGAGCACTTTCTGAAAGGTCACATTAACTAGGTGCAACATCAAACAAAACATTCCATTTTTCTTCTATAAGCTTTGAGTTGACATTACCAAAAAAAGACATAAGGAACAGAATTTGGGTCAAATCAAAACTGTAACATGATGCTATTCTCAGATGTTAGCAAGAAGCGGTGAGGGGGCAGATGTGTAACTGCCTGTGGTTCTGAGCGTCCACATGCTGTCAGCCCTCACCCTCAGCTACGCGCGTCTGCAAAACCCATCACAACTTGCAGGGCACCAGCCTGCTTTTCACTGAATTAATCAGTTTGTGAATTACCCACATCCTGTTGATCCATAGAAGACTAGAGACCTGGAACAGTGAATTGTATTAAGGAAAAGAAATTGCATAGAAAGAAAGTATGTACTTTTGGTTTGGTCTGTTTTAGAAGTAGGTTTGCGAGAAGTCTCTGCATGTAGAAATGTTGCTGTTTCAGTACCTGAATCAGAAGCAGTGTCACCCATGAGTCTTTCTTGAATCAAATGAAGTTTGTCTACTAGTTCTTCAAATAAATCATTAAGAAGCCCCACTTCCTTACATTTCTTAAGAAAATCAATCTTCGCAGCTGCATCTAAGAATAAGAAAAACATTTTAGGAGGAAATGATCTAGAGCAGCTCTCATAAATTCCTTTATGGTCATTTCTTCAGACCATGCGTAGTGGTGGATGAGCAGAGTCAGTAGGATAATAAATACAGCACCTTTATCTTTTATTGTAATTTCATCATACCTCATGTTTTCCTCACTGAAACAATGTTACAAAAAGTGAAAAAAACTTCTCTGCTTAGACTAATTATCTGAATCAAGAGGATTTTCTAAAATTTAGCTGCACATCTTTGAGATAATAGCTCCCATTTTTTCTGTCACAGTTACTGTGTGTCATTATGGAACGTCTATTTCCCTGACAGAAAGCTACAGTGACTGGCTTCAGCTTCCTGGGGTCACAGGATTCTGAGCTTAGGTAACCCTGGCTTCTAGACCAGGAAGTATATCCTTTCTTAATACCAAAGAACAATGGACCATCCCCATCTAAATTACTTTGAGCTGGGGCTATGATAGAGTAGATAATTATGATAAAAGCTTTCTTTTCTTACAATTACTATAAGACTAGAAGAATAAAGTGGGATCCAACTTTGAAGTAAATGGGTTATTTTTATAAGTACTGGAAGTCATATTTGATACAAAATTTATAGCAAACCTGTGTGTCTGCCATCCTCTTCCTTCATGTGTTTTGTGAATCTGTCTAATGTCAACATTTCAGGTGGCTAGAGGGAGAGAAAAATCAAGATTAATTGATTTACTGTTGACATTTAATATTGTGTAAAATGAAAACCAGTCTTTTGTTGCATACAATTCAATGATATGCCTGTGGTGAAAAATCATGCCCCATATTCATTGGTAGTTTACATGTAAACATCAAATCATTTTTGTATAACAAAACATCAAGAGGTGTGGCAAGCTCCTCTGTATAAACAGCAAGAGGTGAAGGTTGCTGGCTCATACTAATTTAGCTCATATGAGTGGATGTGTAAAAAAACGGTTTCAAATCCCCAAAACATTTCATACACTTTGCACATAATAGTAATGCAGAAAATTTTGAAAATCACAAATCAGGTCGAGTGTGGATCATGCAGCTGAGAAATACTTGGTTAGGTAAGGATGCTTTACTGCACCTCTGCCCATTTTAAGACCATAAGCACACTGTGGGCTCCGATACTTTCACTGATGTGGTACCAGGACATGTGTTACCAGAGCCATGGGACTGTCACCTCCTGAAGGGCATGTGCTGGGATACCCAACACATCCAACTTTTATATTCAGCTCATATGGTTCTGTTACCATTTCACCGGATATGTGAATGGTTAAAATAAGGAAGAAACTGTGTGAAGAAACTGAAAGCTATAATAAAATGAAGTCAAATTACCTCTACATGAATGTCTGTTGAGAGACATTTCTTCCTTCCTCTTTTTCTTTTCAGTCCTGAAAAATCAGTTGAAAATCTAAATCATGTAGAAACCAGAATCCATAAAGGAAAAGACTGATGCTTGACTACATAAAATAGAAAACTCTTATATACTAAAAGTTACTACAAGGTCAGAAGATACGGCAAACTTACACTGAATGTTTGCAACACATATGATAAAGCACCAATTTTCAAAATATAAATATAAAACAAATGAACAGAAAAACAGGCCAATGGGGAACCCTCTAGGAAGAGTTCATTAAATAGAAAAACAGACTGGGTCACAGGAAAACAGATATATTGATCAAAAGATAGGGGAATACACTCAATTTTACTCATAAGTAAAGACATGCAAAATAATTTCCCACCTATCAGACTGACAAAGATGAAAGTGTTTAATATTTGCAAGGATTGGGGTAATTGTGTACTGCTGGTGCAGCCTCTATGGAAGAGAATCAGCCAGTTGTTATCACAGTTTCACTGTTCATACTTTTTGACCCAGCAATCTACACCAAGTTTTCCAAATGGTATAGTTGCATAAAGGCACAAAGATGAATGGAGAAAAATGTTAACTACACTATTTGATGTGATAGAAAAAAAAATGGAAATAACCTCAGTGTCCATCATGCAGAGACTAGTTCAGTTGTAATTCAGCTATACAACTGAATAATAATACACACAATGGCATATTATTATGCAGCCTTTCAAAAACGAGGTAGATCCATTTGTATAGATACGGAAGGATGTCTGAGTGAAAACAAAATATAGTAGTATGTACAGGAAATTTTTAGAAGAATTCAAATGAAACGGATAGTTTCTTCTGGGGAGAGGATTCATAACTGTGTTATAATCTGCTTTTAAAAACTAATACAATTAAAAAAATTTTTTTTCAATATTGGGGCGCCTGGGTGGCTCGGTTGAGCATCTGACTCTTGGCTTGGGTCATGAGATTGAGCCCCGTGTCTGGTTTCATGCTGAGTGTGGGGCCTGCTTGAGATTCTCTCTCTCCCTCTGCGACCCCTCCGCCACTCGTGGCACGCTTTCTCTTAAAAAAAAATTTTTTTTAATTAAAGCTACATTGTTAACTTTCCCTGTCAGTAAACAGATTGAAGCTATATTTTTTATAATTCCTGATAAAAGGGTATTGACTGAAAAATGAGGGTAACAATACTGTTTAGAGAGTGTTGTTTACCACCAAAAAATGCAGTTGGCATGACGTGGAACTAAGCTTTTTCCAAAAAGGTCCTGCCTCTGGTCCACAGTGAGCATTCCAGACTTTGTGCGGGTGAGACACTACTGCTCAGGCAGCGTACAGAGGCCGTTCGTGAGTGAATGTAAGCCCGTGACTCCAGTTAACCAGGGCCTAGTTTTCCTTAATTATAACTGAAATGCTAAACATGCATTCTTAGGAAATTTTAGGGAATGTGCAGCAATTTATCAATTTTATAACTACTGGTATTCTTTTAGAAGAGAAGCAGTTGCAAAAGTCAAAGGTTTTTACCACGTCCTCGTTTGGCCCTCTGATTGTGGTGAGGATGCAAGGTACCAGACAGAGACGTTCCTGGGAGTAGGTCTAGTTTGCAAAGAAGAAAAGTTAGTCCATTACACTGCACACTGCACAAAGAAACTGGCAATTTTATAAGTATTAAAAATTCAACTCACAAATTTGTATTTAATGCAGTGAGGCTAGTAAATCAGGATATTCATGTCTTACCTAAATGTATACCTTTCTTTAAACCCACAGTACTAAATTTTAGAGACTTACCATTATGAACGTTGTTCAATGGAGCATGTTGTTTGCAAAACATTCTGAAACATGCAATTTCAAAGAATTGTTAAATATTTTTACTTACACTTCTTAAATATTCCTATTTTCTTATGATTTAAAAAGGAACTAGTCTATTTTTCATGATGGCCTTACCCTAAATATTTGTAAAAGAAAAATGCTCTCCAAACCTGTGTAAGTTACTGACCCTTATCAAATGTGGACGGAGCCTCTGTCAGATGTCTTTTGTGCTCTCAGCCCTCAAGTTGGTACGCTCTCCGAAGGAGTGCGTGTGAAACATTTTAAACAATGGTAAGTAACTCATACATCGTGGTCAGTGGGATTTTACTGTATAAAGAAAGATATCTAAAGATCCAACATCTAAGACAAATTTTCATCTGACTACACAAAGTTCTACTGATTTTCAACAATAAATAGCACAAAATTGCATGCATGAATTTTGGGGAAGGTAGTTTTCTAACTCAGCAGTTATCTCCCCCCAGACTTTAGAGTTGAACTGCATGAATCTAGAACGGATCAATGCCCTAGAAGAGAAGCAAGCAGCACAGCAGGCTATGAAGAAGAAATGGAGTGAATGAATTTTGAGGAGCTGCTCAGGTCCCATATCTTCCCCAGGCTCTATCCTCAGCCCCTAGCTACATCTCCCTTCCTTTCCTTAAGGTGCTGACCCTCAGGAGGCAGGCTCCCTCTTGCCTGTGGGAACATATGAATTCTGTTTTACACCAATTTCTACCTTTTACATGCAGACTTCCTGGCAACCCATCTCCTGCCCCAAGCAAAATTAATCTCACCCTTTGGATTCCAGTATCTGAACACTTCGTTTGCCAGGCACTTACATTTTTTTTATTATGGAAAATTTTGAACAGATCTAAAAGTGAAGAGATGATGAGCCCCATTGCCCCCCACCCATCACTCAGTTTCAACAATTATCAACTCAAGGCCAAGCCAGTTTCATGCGAATCCCCTCCTGCTCCCATCATGCCACGTGCTTCTATTTGTTCTGGCCTCTGGTCCTTCCAACAAGGTGCTAGGTTCTCTGAGATTTAGTGCATGTCCTATTCATACTCTTTATATTCTTACTGCACCTAGCAAGATATGTATGGTAGGCACTCTAACAACTGAATATTTAAATTCAATTAAAAAGTACATAGAAGTTCACCTGATACTTGATAATGACAAAAATGATTATTTTCATTGAGTCTCTATTCCTTGGTTTTACTAACACAAGACCAGTATTTTTGCAGTTTAAGATATAACAGGAATTGACTCCTTTTTGTTCAGTCTTGTAGCTCTGCTAATAACAGTGTGTCTAGTGGGTGCGTGAGGTCATTATGGAAGTCATAATGAACTCTTTGGGAAGGTAAAAAAAAAAACACAATCTATGAGTTTCTGAGCAAATCAAATATAAAAAGTATGGTACAAAATTAGTACGATTTACACATTCCTTTCTAGTCTCAAGCAATAAAATATCTATGGAACTTGCTCAAAATCAGATGTAAAATTATTTAACAAATTCCTTTTAATAATATGCTTGCCCATACTGTTTTAGAATATAGGCCCCTAAGCCTGAAGAGGATATGGTGGTGAAGAGCAAGAACTCCAGAGCCCTAAAGCCCAGCTCTGCCACTCACCAGATATTTGACCTGGGGACAAATGACTAAGTCTTACAGGGCCTCAGTGTCTGCATCTGTAAAGTGGGGATAAATACCTACCTCACTGGGTTGTTATGAGGATTATATGCGTTAACATTTGTAAAGTAGTTGGAAGTATTTCTGGCACAAAGTAAGTGATTAGATAAAATAAAACAACATAGTGCCTGAAACACTTTGATGAACCTGGGGGTGTGTGCCCAAAGGGGGGAAAAATCTAGCCTCCAAATGCAATTTTAAAATATTTAGGATCTCACAAAAATCATATTAAAAAGATAATGCTCTCATTCAGAATATTGTGAGTAAAAATATTATTTCACTGAAATTTAAAATATTCCATCAGAATGTATGCACATACCCCAAAGAAGTGAGAAGTATCTGCCTAGCTCTTCTTCAACTTCAGACCATCATTTTCTTTTATATTCCATTTCATAACTTTAAAAAAGGTCAAAACTTCTTCTAGATATCTTTTTAACTTTATATTTTATTTTATTAAAGATTATTTATTTGACAGCACAAGCAGGGGGTGAGGCACAAGGAGAGGGAAAAGCAGAGTCCCCACTGAGCAGGGAGCCCAATGCGGGGCTCATTCCCAGGACCCTAGGATCATGACCTGAGCCAAAGGCAAACACTCAACTGACAGCCACCCAGGTGCCCCTATATAACATGTTTTAGACTGCATCCACATACCAAAAAACCGAACATGACTTGAATCAATTCAGTTAACAACTGGCTTACTGATTTCGTCTGACTAAATTGTCTATTTAACTGAACTGCAACCTTTCATCAGGAGGAAGATCAAGTTTCTTCCTGGATAAAACAAATACAATTCTGTTGGACTTGAAATATGCCTTACTGGGTCAAAATTAACATTAAGAATTATTGAAAGAGGGAAGCAAGATTTAAAAGCCAAAGGCAATTCAAACAATTTCTTTAAGAACTTAATGACTGATTACTATATTTGCTGCATAGTTTATCATTTTTAAAAGCTCTTTATAGGTAAGACGGTGGTGAGAGTGGTGGGAAAAAACATTCATTCAGCAGACAAGATGGATAAACCATTGACTTGTGGCTAACAAGGCTCCTGTTTGCAGGGGAGAGCAATAGTGAACTGGTTCTAGGTCCTGTGACCACCCATTAGGTCACTCATGCCAGTATGGCAACCAGTGCTTTCTACTGGGAAAGAAGACATGTAGGAAGATTAAAACCAAAACGAACTCTGCTCATTTTCTTTCTGTAATACCGAGGGAAGATACTGTGAAGTCAGGTTCCCAACTGCGCATCCCCCAAACCACGCTCTTACTTAGAAACCATTTGCATAAAATTATCTTTATTTATTTATTTATTTTAAAGATTTTATTTATTTATTTGAGAGAGAGAGAATGAGAGAGAGCAAGCACATGAGAGGGGGGAGGGCCAGAGGGAGAAGCAGACTCCCCGCCGAGCAGGGAGCCCGATGCGGGACTGATCCCAGGACTCCAGGATCATGACCTGAGCCGAAGGCAGTCGCCCAACCAACTGAGCCACCCAGGCGCCCCCTGCATAAAATTATCTTTAAAAATCTGTTTGTTGGGGTGTCGCTGTGGCTCAGTTGGTTAAGCATCTGCTCAGGTCATGATCCCAGGGTCATGGGATCAAGCCCCTGCATCAGGCTCCCTGCTCGGCAGGGAGCCTGCTTCTCCCCCTCCCTCTGCCTGCCGCTTCCCCTGCTTGTGCTGTCAAATAAGTAAAATCTTTAAAAAAAAAAAAAAACCTCTTTGTCTTAATCTAACCATTCTTTATTCCATTCCCCCAAGTGTAGCTTCAAAACTGTTTAATTATACATACTTATAAATTCCTCGAGATCCATCAGTTTGTAGAACTGCGTGGTCATTCTTGGCACAGAAAAAGTGGTAACTCTTGTTACAGGCTTTTAAATCACATCCCACGGTGGCTCCTCTTTCATTACAAAATGCACATTTCTACAGAAGAATAAATTTTACCCAGTAAGCACCTGTTTTTCATAATCTTTGTTAAAATTTAAAGTTAAAGATGTCATTAAATGTTATTTTTAAGTCAGCAGCCCTAACGTCCTCAGCCACAAATGTTAGGTATTTACATCTGGCTGCTCATTTTGAGATTTCAGCAAAACCTCTGTTAAATAAAGTACTTGGTTGGCACTGACCTGTAATGATCTGATTAAAAGCAGAAAACCCTTTTTGTTTTAAAACGAACAAAACCTTTCTCTTTTTACAAGAGATTTCTAAAAAGAGATTTGTCCTGCACTAAGCAAGGGGTCCTGTTAGGGACACTGGGGCCCATGGTGAGGGTGGCTTCTGATGGTGCCACTGAGAGCTGTGTGATCCAGCAGTCTCTCCCCTCTCTTAGACCTTGATCCCTCCCTGTGGATAACACTGCCTGTCTCATGGTTTCTGCTGAGGACAATGTGAGATAAAGTAAGTGAAACCTCTCTGGAATCTATGTAGTAGGGCCAAAAATTTAAAATTAAAAAACAAAACCCTGAGTAGCAAATTTTTTCCAAGTTCTATTTATTTGATCTCTTGCTTTTATATATTAGTCAGTTGATCTGGTATTTTATATATTGAAGGTGGTATAGAGATGGTTAGGACAGTATGTGGCCATAGCAATCTAACTGGTTTAGGGGAGTCCAAGCCATGCCCAAGGCTGATGTGATTTATAGCAGGCTCTGTCTGAATGAAGGGGAAGCACAAAGAAACCACCTTGCAAAACAGGAAATACCTCGAACAATACCCTAAGGTCAGCACAAGCAACCATACAAATAAAGAAAATTCAAATATGGGTAAGAAATTAGATTATGCTAAAGGTGGAATTTCAAATCAGAGCACAAAGAAAGATCATTTAATTTGGCGGGGTGGGGGGTGGGGGCATCTGGCTTTATGTGTAGAAAAAGTTACATCCCTACCTCACAACATATTCCCAAATAAGTTCCACATGGATTAAGGCTCTGAGAAAAAGTTTTAAAGTTAATGAAAATGTATGGGGTTAAGGTCAGGAAGGCTAAGCAAGGAAGGAAACTCAGAAGTCACAGAGAAAAAGACTGACGGATCTGACTACATAAAAAATGTAAACTTCCATTTTTATAGTGACAGCTACCAAAAAAACAATGAAAATATTTGCAAACAGAAACAGACTCATTAATACAAAGAACAAATTGTGGCCAAAGTAGGTGAAGGGGATTAAGAGGTACAGGTTTTCATGGGGCGCCTGGGTGGCTCAGTCATTAGGCGTCTGCCTTTGGCTCAGGTCATGATCCCAGGGTCCTGGGATCGAGTCCTACATCGTACTCCCTGCTCAGTGGGAAGCCTGCTTCTCCCTCTCCCACTCCCCCTGCTTGTGTTTCCTCTCTCGCTGTGTCTCTCTCTGTCAAATAAATAAAATCTTAAAAAAAAAAAAGGTACAGGCTTTCAGTTACTAAAAATATAAATCACAGGGATATAATGCAGAGCATAGAGAATATGGTCAATGATATTGGAATATGGTGACAGATGGTAATTGGGCTTATTGTGGTGATCATTTCATAATGTATATACATGTCAAATCACTGTGTTGTATGCCCAAAACTAATATTGTATGTCAACTGTATCAATAAAAAAAAATGTTTGCTGTATATTTGATAAAGGGTTAAGACTGATAAACTCAGAAAAATGAGAACAGGCAAATCACAGAAGAAATACAAATGGTTAATAAAATTTCATTCACTTAAAGACTACTGAGTAACTGTGATGTGTCAGGCACTGTTCTAGGGAAGAGGGAAACAGCAGGGGACAAGGCACCTGCCCTTGTGAAGTTAACATTCTAGGGGAGAGAGACAGACCATGATCACATAAGGCAAAGTTAAAAACACAGTGATACACGTGTTGTAAATATCTTTTCCCAGTCTGTTTTGTTTCTTCACTGTCTTTAATGATGTCTTTTAATGAACATAAATTTCAATTTTAACAAAAATAAATAAGAACATCTCTAGTAATTATAGCAATTAGACTATCGATGTCAATATTTACCAAGTGCTTAATTAGTGCAAAGAATGAGCTAATAAAAATATACGAATTATCTTAAAAAAACATAGTGATACCTGCTTTGTAAGAATTAAAATAAGGTGAAGTGACATTTTCACTGGGTCCCTATTTCAGATTGGGGGACACTCTCTCCTGAGGAGGTGATACAGAAGTTTAGATTTGAATAATAAGAGCAGGCAAAAAAGCAGGGGGAAGGATGTTCTAGGCAGAAGGCTTTATATTCCTGTGGCAAAAATGAGCCTCCTATTGGCAAGCTTACTGGAAGGACAAGACGGTGGGCTGATGTTGTTGGAGCAGAGATGAGGGTAAGGGAAGTCAGAGGTAAGATCCAAGGGGTAAGGAAGAGCTGGGTCATGTAGGGGTTACAAAGCAGAGTAAGGAGTTGGGGTTTTGTCTTTGTACGATGGGAACATAAAGTGATCAGTATTTTTTTTCCCAAAGATTTTATTTATTTATTTATTTATTTATTTATTTATTTGAGAGAGAGAACATGAGCTGAGAGAGGGGCAGAGGGGGAGGGTGAAGGAAAGAATCCCAAGCAGATTCAGTGCTGACTGCAGAGCACAGAGCTGTGCATGGAGCTCAATCTCACAACCCTGAGATCATGACCTGAGCTGAAATCAAGAATCCAATGCTGAATGGACTGAACCACCCAAGGGCCCTAAGTGATCAGTATTTTAAAGACACTATTGTAGCTGTGTGGAGAATGGGCTGGGGTAGGGATGGGCAGGAGAGAGTGCAAAACAAAGATCAGTGATGTTGATTAGCAAGTGTCTGAGGGAGATCCATGACTTTACTGCAGAGGGTTAGTGACAGAAGGGGAGGATAGAGGGGCACCTGGGTGGCTCAGTCATTAAGCGTCTGCCTTTGGCTCAGGTCGTGATCCTGGGGTCCTGGGATTGAGCCCCACATCGCATCGGGCTCCCTGCTCAGCGGGGGGCCTGCTTCTCCCTCTCCCACTCCCCCTGCTTGTATTCCCTCTCTTGCTGTGTCTCTGTCAAGTAAATAAATAAAATCTTTAAAAAAACAAAAAAAGGGGAGGATAGAGGGTCTGCAGGGTGACGCTGATAGGCTGGATGCTGGGCTGGGAGGTTGATAAGGAGGTGATGATGGATGAATGGTGGGCAGTTCATTGAGGTGAGGAGTGAACAGGTTTGGATGGAGTCTGTGTATATGTGTGCAGGGGCTGGAACTGTGTTCATTGGCCAGTTTAATATGAGATGCTATTAGATACTCATGTAGATATGTCAGGTTGGTTTTTTTTTTTTTTTTTAAAGATTTTATTTATTTTTTTTATTTGAGAGAGAGAGAATGAGAGACAGAGAGCACGAGAGGGAAGAGGGTCAGAGGGAGAAGCAGACCCCCTGCCGAGCAGGGAGCCCGATGCGGGACTCGATCCCGGGACTCCAGGATCACGACCTGAGCCGAAGGCGGTCGCCTAACCAACTGAGCCACCCAGGCGCCCCTGTCAGGTTGGTTTTAATGGCTGGAGGTATAGAGTTCCTGGCATAAGTAGGAATTGAAGCCATGGGAACTGGAAGAGGTCACACAGAAAAGATGTTCAGATGGAGGAAGGAGCCCAGGAGAGCCTTGGGGACTGTACAGATTTAGCAGAGAAGGAAAAACAGCCAAGGTGCTTGGGAGGAAGCAGCCAGAAAGGTAAGAGACACAGTAGCAGAGTGTGTGTAGGAAGTCAAAGGAAGAAAGTGCTTCTGGATGCAGGGCACGGACAACTGTGATGAATACTGCTGAGAGGTCAGCTAAAGACAGAAGTGACATTGTAATTGACCAGGTCTTAATAATTTTACAAAGGAGGATTTAAGATGACATGATCAGTTGCTCTTGGATATATGCTGAAGGAAATAATCTAGTACAAGCGGGGATACTGATGTTAAAGGGAAATGCAAGAGCCTAATCCTTAAGGAGGGGCAGGTGATGACTCCAAAGTCTAAGTGGAGGGTTGACTTTGACAAGAGGGAGGTCCCAGAGTCTGGGGACAGAGGTGGATGGGCAGTGGTTTGAACAGTAGGAGTTCCTGGCTAACGGCTTCCATTTCTCAATAAGAATCAGACAAAGATAGGTGTACCACCAAGATGAACCCTAATGTAAACTACAGACTTCGGGTGTTTTCATGATGTGTCAGTGTAGGTTCATCAGTTGTAACAATGACCACTCTGGTGGGGGATGTTGATAAAAAGAAGGTTGTGTATGTGTGGGGGTGGGAAGTATATGGGAAATCTTTGTACTTTCCCCGTAAGTGTTCTATGAACCTAAAACTGCTCTAAAAAATAAAGTCTATAAAAAAAAAAATAAGGCATAGTCATCAACTTGGGGATGAGCAGTTGGGGTGGGAGAGGTTTTAAAAAGAGATGAGAGGATATGAAACAGTAAAGGTAGAGGGTGGAGGGTGATGTGTTGAGGTTCCTTTTGAGGTTTGTGGCCATGAATCTAAGATCAGTCAACACATCTGTGGGTTTTTGTCCAGTTGTTCAACTGTTCAAGTGCCAGTACTGCTCAGCAGATGCAGACAACAGACAGGTGCATTTCACGGGCGGGGGTGGGGGTGGTTTGCTAGGTGAGTAAGGAAATGTGCATGTGGGTGGTGGGGAGAGGGAGTCCAGGCTGTTTGCAGGACAGTGCCTATGAGATGGGGCCACTGACTGTAGAGGGATCATGGAAGGACTGCTGGGGCTGGGTAGGCTGGGAGGGAGACAGATGCCTAAGAAGAACTAACGTTCAACCTCTCTCCAGTGATGAGGGAAATGCAAGGTAACACTTCCTGTCAGACGCAAAAAGTAACAAGATTCATGACACTCATTTTTGTCAAGGGCTGGGAAAAATGTTCTTTCATCCACAGAAGAATAAAATGGTACAACCTTTCTGGCGGACAGTTTATTGGCATGTTTCAAAATTATTATTTTTAAAGATTTTATTTATTTGACAGTGAGAGAGGGTGCACAAGCAGGGGGAGCAGGGGAGGGAGAAGCAGGCTCCCTGCTGAGCAGGAAGCCCGATGTGGGGCTCGATCCCAGGACACTGGAATGATGACCTGAGGTGAAGGCAGATGCATAACTGACTAAGCCACCCAGGCGCCCGGCATGTTTCAAAATTATTAAAGGGAATTCTCTTTCACTCAGCCATTTCACTTCTAGGAATGTGCTTTACAGCAATGCTCAAACAAGTACACAGGGTATGTGTACAAAGATGTTTACAGTGACATTAGTTGTTATAGTGAAAAACCAGAGTCGACTCATTATCTAACAACAAGGGAATAGTTTCATGCATTCTGGTTGATCCCATGGAATTCCATGAAGTCAGTAAAGAGGATGCCACAGTCATATGCTTATAGTTTTAGGAACATGCCATGTCTTTCTTGCCTTCCCAACTTTGGCACATCCTGTTCCCTTTCCCTGGAATTCCTCCTTCCCCATCTTCGTTACCCTCACTCCTCCCCAACTAGGAAGTCTTCTGGGCCCCATCTGCACTAAGGTGCTTGATTGCTTGAGTGACCTGTGCTGACCCTTCTCAAAGCACATCAGGCTGTGCAGAAACTGCCCTCATATATGTGTATGCCTTGTAAAGGCTAAATAAATGTTTGTTCCAGATCATAAACCTTACTGTGGTGGTGGGCATTAGGTGCTCACACCTGCTGTACTGCAAGCCTTGAAGGGCCTTTCCTAGAGGAAGTCTACTGTAACCAAACCAATAAGGTATCTATTGTCTTCCAGGGGGAGCTGACCCAGGTACAAGGGGGTTGATCCTGATTAGTTATGGCCACCTTTAGCAACTAGAGCAGGAAGATGGGTGTGGCCTAATTTAATTTTCAGAAGGGCTCTTATTCAATGCTTGGGGATGAATTCTTTCTTTTCTTTTTTCCTTTTTTTAAAGATTTTATTTATTTAACAGAGTGAGAGAGCACAAGAGTGGGGTGAGGGGCAGAGGGAGAAGCAGACCCCCCACTGAGCAAGGAGCCCGATGCAGAGCTCGATCCCAGGACCCTGGGATCACGACCTGAGCCAAAGGCAGACGCTTAACCAACTGAGCCACCCAAGCGCCCGGGATGAACTTTTTCTTTTACCAGATAGGGATAAGAAAGACTGACACTTCAGTTGTTGTCTGTGACCACCCTATGACCACAAGAGGACCAGCTGATGTTGCGGACAGGATGACAGAAAGGATGATGGGCTCTTGATGATGGCCACTAAATCAACCAACTCTGAAGCCAGTTTTCCCTCTGGCTAAGTGAGAAAATGAGCATCCTTTTTGTTAAAGCCAGTTTGAGTTGAGGGTTCCTTCTACTTACAGCCAAAAGCAATCTAACTCATATCTACTTTGCTGATGAAGCGTGTTGTAGTTTGTTTTAAAATATTAAATGTTCAGTTGAATTTAAGTTTCCAAAACAGGTCCTACGTCTTTCAGCTCTCCAAGATGTGTCTCTATCCCTGGTTTACCAATCAAGTAGACTTTCTCTTGGAAACATCCCCTTCAAGATCTGTTCATCTTTTATGAGTAATAAAATCATTTATACTTACCAACTTCCGTCCTCTGTGGATTTCTTTCTTTACTGATTCCACATCAAAATTTCTGTCTTGATTACGTGGATCATGATCCTCACATTCCACAAGTGCTGAAGAATACAGCTTCAAATTGGGAAAAAAAAAATGCACAAAGTACCATTGAAAGCTGCAAATCAGAAAATGGTATCACAAAGTACTCACCAGGAGTGGAAGATGAATTGGGGGTATAACAGTGACCACCTTTTGGGGTATGTAAACAGATTACAAGCCACCCTGCTTTTCTTTGGAAGTGGCCCTGATCCCCAGGCATGTTTTATACTGCATAACCCTGGCCCCCAGTGGTTAACTGGACCTGGTTGGGGCCCTGACCCGAAACTGAGCCAACTGGATTCCCTATCCTGAGAGAGTGAAATAGACTCTGAGCCACATGGTAGAAAGCAAGCCAGTCTGCAAAGAGAGGAATATAGAAACGAGGGCTAGAGAGAACAAGATGGGTTCCTGATATTTTCCTAGCTACTGTTCTTAGACCTGCCCGCATGTCAGCCTTCAGAAACCATGAAATCCCCTGCAGTCTGATTAAAAACCCACTTTTATGTTTAGGTTGGCTCAAGTTTCCGTGTGTTACCTGAATCCAATCTATCTCTGAATTGAAGATCAACATTACACAATGCAATCACAAAGCAACCTACAGATTCAATGCAATCTCTACCAAAATACCAATAGCATTCTTCACAGAACTAGAACAAATAAAGCTGAAATTTGTATGGAACCATAAAAGACCCCAAATAGCAAAAGCAATCTTTGAGAAAGAAGAACAAAACTGGAAGTAGCACAATCTCTGATTTAAAGATACACTACAAAGCTATAATAATCAAAACAATCTGGTACAGCATAAAAATAGATCAATGGAACAGAACCCCCTGAAATAAACCCATGATTTTATGGCCAAAGGAGACAAGAATAAACAATGGGGAAAAGACAGTCTGTTCAATAAATGGTGCTGGGAAAACTGGACACACACATGCAAAAGGATGAAACTGGACCACTTTCTTATACCATATACAAAAATGAACTCAAAATGGATTAAAGACCTAAATGTGAGACCTGAAGCCATAAATTTCCAGAAGAAAACATAGGCAGTAATCTCTTAGATATCAGCCATAACAACATTTTTCTAGATCTGTCTCCTTAAGGGAAATAAAAGCAAAAATAAACTATTGGGACCACACCAAAATAAAAAGCTTTTGCACAACAAAGGAAACCATCAACAAAATGAAAAGGCAACCTACTAAATGGGACAAGATACTTGCAAATGACATCTCTGATAAGGAGTTAATTTCCCAAATAAAGAACTACGACTCAACAATAAAAAACCAAATGATCTGATTAAAAGTGGGCAGAAGACCGGAAATAACATTTTTCTAAAGAAGATGTACAGATGGCCAACAGACATGAAAAGATTCTCAATATCACTCAACATTAGGGAAAAGTAAATCAAAACCACAATGAGGGGGCGCCTGGGTGGCTCAGTCATTAAGCGTCTGCCTTCGGCTCAGGTCATGATCCCAGTGTCCCGGGATCAAGCCCCGCATCAGGCTCCCTGCTCAGCGGGAAGCCTGCTTCTCCCTCTCCCACTCCCCCTGCTCGTGTTCCCTCTCTCGCTGTGTCTCTGTCAAATAAATAAATAAAATCTTAAAAAAAAAATAACCACAATGAGGTATCACCTCACACTTGTGAGAATGGCTAGTGTCCAAAAGACAAGAAATAACAAGTGTTGGTGAGGATGTGGAGAAAAAGGAACTCTCGTGTACTGTTGGTGGGAATGTAAATTACGGAGCCACTATGTAAAACAGTATGAAGTTTCCTTAAACAACTAAAAATAGAAATACCATACGATCTAGTAATTCCACTACTGGGTATTTACCCAAAGAAAATGAAAACACTGATTCAAAAAGATATGCTCACCCCTATGTTTATTGCAGCATTATTTATAAGAGCCAAGATATGGAAGCAACCTAAGCATCCATTGGTAGATGAACGGAGACAGAAGATGTGGTGTACAGACACACACACACACACACACACACAGGAATATTACTCAGTCATAAAAAAGAATGGTATCTTGCCATTTGCAACAACATGGATGGACCTGGAGGGTATCATGCTATGTGAAATGTCAGAGAAAGACAAACACCATATGATTTCACTTATATATGGAAACTAAAAATAAGTGAACAAAAAAAGCAGAAACAGACCCATAAACAGAAAATAAACTGGTGGTTGTCAGAGAGGAGGGTGGGAGGGCATGGGCAAAAAGGGTGAAAGGAAATGGGGGGGTATAGGCTTCCCGTCATGGAATGAGTAAGTCACAGGGATGAAAGGCACATCATAGGGAATATAGCCAATGGTACTGGAACAGCACTACATGGAGACAGACTGCGGTGAGCACAGCATGATGTATAGAGTAGAATTACTCAATATGTTTACACCTGAAACATGTAACATTGTGTGTCAACCATACTTCAACTTTTTTTATACTTGTTATTTTTTTAAGGTATTAGGAAAAGGTAATGAAAAAAAAAAAGACCCAGGAAATAGCTTAACCCAAAGTTTTACACCTCTACAGGAAAAAAATTATTGAACACTTCTGAAATTCACAAAAGAAGACATGAATCACTGAAGACAGACTCTGTTAATGGACAGAAATACTCATATCATTTTTTCCCAAATTTATCTATAAATTCAATGGAATTCCAGTTAAAATTCCAATAGGAATTTGTATAAAACCTTGTAAGCTGATCCCAAAATTCAAAGCACCAAAAAATAGCCATGGCTTATCATAAAATCATAGTAATTAAGACAATGTTGTACCAGCTCAGGGAGAGACAAAGTGACCAATGGAACAGAATAGAGCCAGAAACAGATCTGTGCACAAATTATTATATTGTTAGCACACTGGAAGAATGAGGGTTCTAGAAGTAAGCAGCTTGGGTAAGAATCCTGGCTCAGGCACTTACAGCTGTGTGACCTTGGGCAAGTGTCTTAACTTCTCTGTACCTCAGTTGTTTCATCTTTAGTTTGGGCATAATAATGATACCTACCTTTTAGGGCTGTCGTAAGGATTAATAGTTTAATACAGCTTAAGCTCCCAGAACAATACCTTACACCTGGTGAATACTGAATAATAATTATAGTTATCATTATCACTACAAATCAATGAGAAAAGAACAGATTAGTCAATAAATAATGCTGGGAAAAGTGGTTATCATATAAAAAATCATATAAAAAAAAAAAAAGGAGATGCCTACTTTACAGAGTAGTCCAAATAAATTCTGGTTGGATTAAGAAACTAAATGAGAAAAGCCAAATTTTAAAATTTGGGGGGAAAAAGATAGAACCTTAGTAAAGGAAAGAACTTCTTAGGGGAAAAATCCTACAAATTATAAAGGAAAGTAACGATGAATTTAACTACATTATAAACCTCTGACAGGAAACACCACAAGTTAAAAGCCAACATATATAGTAAAGCATAGAATCTATTTATATACATATATAAATACATGTAAGGAAAATCAATATCTTAAAGACAAAACGCAGTCGATGAACACAAGTCACAGAAGCGAGAAACAGAACTGTGCATAAGCCCAGCCAAATGAGGCACAATCGCACTAATAATCTAGGAATGCAAACAAGACACCGTTTCACATCCATCAGAGAGGAAAAAATTAAAATTTCATAATATCACATGTGGCAAGGAAAAAGAGGAACGAATTCTGAAACAATGTGAAAGTCAAACTTGGTGCAATCCTTTTGGAGAGCAATGTGCCACATACAGTGAGGTGCAAAACGCTCCCTCTGTGCCCAGCAATTTAGCTCTGTGCGCTACACCCGAGAAATCCTCCCATGAATTAGGAGACCTATACAAAGCTGTTCATGACAGCTGGTTAGTTACATGAAAAAAAGTGGAAAAACCTAAGAGTTCATTCACACGAGAATAGTTTAGTAGTGATGGTCACAAAATGGAATTCTATAGCATTTAAAATTAAGGACTTAAGAGTTAAATTTATCACATGGATAAATCTCAATAGCCACAGAATTTGATTGAAATTCTACAAAGTTCAAGAACATGTAAAACAATATCATATCTTGTTATAAGCTCTTAAATACACACAGTGGGAACATAAAATCAAAAACACAAGATAAGAAACACCAAATCCGTGAGGGCAATTATATCTCGAGGGATGGTGGGAGGGGAACAGAGAGAATTAGAGAGCCCTTAACTATCTGTGTTTTATTTCCTTTAAAAAAGAAAGTCAAAGTAAACCAAATATAGTATGATTCTACAAATCTGGATGCAATGTCTATGGGTATTGGTTATATTTGAAATATCTCAATATCTTCCAAGAAGCTTCTTCATCATAATTGTATTTGATCAGTTATAAAGCTAAAATGTAATCATAAGATCTGAAACAGTTTAAAAAGTTAGAAAAATATGCTCCCCAAATCCCCACTTAGAAGCCCAAATCATGGCCAACTCGTCATTCTGTCTCCAAAGTACATTTACCTATTTTGGTATGTCCTTCCCTAAAAGGACTCATGTGTTTTTAAGTAACTTACCAAACAATTTTCATGAGCAGCTATATTCTCTGATTGTGCAAAGTATAGGACACTATACTCGATGTCTTTGGGGCAGAGTGCACATGTCCTTTTTTCCATCTTTTCTGCAACCTGAAAGACACCTATAAGTAACATCCCTTATGAGAAATGGAAAAGTGAAACTTCTTGGTCTCCGTAATTCCTCCACCAGTCTTAAAGTAGAAGGCAGGGCACTTGTTCATATGAGAGATTCTCAACTCCCAGAGAGGAAAAAAAAATTGGTACCCAAGTGGAAAAGCAACTTACTGTGTATTTCTTAAATGGTTTAATACAAGGAGGGACAAGAATTAATGAATTTATTTAAAATGTCTAAACATGAGGAGAACTTTATTCAAGAAACACAACCAGGGGGCACCTGGCTGGCTCAGTCACAAGAGCATGAGACTCTTGATCTGGGAGTCCTGAGTTTGAACCCCATGTTGGGTATAGAGATTACTTAAATAAATAAATACACTTAAAAAAAAGGGAAAGAAACACAACCAGGAACTTAAATACAAAGCTCTCAAAACACTGCCTTGGCAATACTAAGCTCTCAATAATTATTATTATTGTCAATACAAATCAACAAGAAAACAATGATGTGCTCAAGAAATAGTGCTCTGGTTAACTGTCTGTAAAAAAAAGTTTTAGATCTCTGTCATACTATATTCAAAAATAAATTTTGAGTGAATTAAAGAAGTAAATGAGCAAGGTGCTTTAATTTAAATGCACTTTAATCTAGCATTATAAGTTAGGAGAGAAAGATACATAAAGGCAGGAAATCAATTTTCTTTTTTTTAAAAGAAATGTATAGAAGAAAGGAGAGGAACCTAAGAGAAGGAGAGCTAGGAAGAAAAGGAAAGAGAGGGAAAAAGAAGCCATCTGTTCCTACAACCTCACTGGGCATGTCAGTGAGGGGTAACCTTCTCTAACTTACTAGTTTGCTATTAATTTAGCCATAAGTGTCCATTTAACAACTTGTTTGCCCTTTCCAATGCTTATCCTCTTATTGATCTGGTTTTCTGTAGAACACAGTTCTGCTTTTAATCTTCAACTTTTAGTTTTGAAGCAAAGATTTATTTTACCATTTAATGGTGAGAGTTTTAAATTTAGATGAGTTTAACCACTTAAAGGGTTCCTAAAAGTTTTTTGTTATCCAAAAGTATAAGATCTCTTGGTGTCTCTGAAATTAGATCTGCACTTGGAGCAGAAGACTGCACTTTGGAGCAGCATTTATCTCACATTCAGAAATTAATTAATTTCTGATTCCTGGATTTGGGTCCTGCCTAGTAGGGATACAAATTTGTAGTCCCTCTGCTCCCCACCAACCACGAAAAAGGGAGAGACTGAGAGAAAAACCCTCAGATGAAATGAGACAGGCCAGCTGCTTCTTTTCATTCATTTCAAACCAGCACCAATTTGGGAGCACCTCCTGTAGGAGAGTAATTTTGCTGGGCACTCTAGACCAGTGCTGTCCAACGGAAACTGTAATGTGAGCCACAAATGTGAGCCACAGCTGAAAAATTTCTAGGGGCCTCATGAAAAAAAGCAAAAAGAAACAGGTGAAATTAATTTTAAGAACATGCTTTATTCAACCAAATATATCCACAATAGATACTTTCACCATTTAATCAACATAAAAATTAATTCATTCTTCAGTACGGAGTCTTTGAAACCCAGTGCACTTTGCACCTATAGTGTGTCTTAACTGAATAAACCACATTTTATTTTATTATGTTAGTCACCATACATTACATCATTAGTTTTTGATGTAGTGTTCCATGATTCATTGTTTGTGCATAACACCCAGTGCTCCATGCAGTACGTGCCCTCTTTAATACCCATCACCAGGCTAACCCATCCTCCCACCCCCTCCCCTCTAGAACCCTCAGTTTGTTTCTCAGAGTCCATAGTCTCTCATGGTTCGTCTCCCCCTCTGATTTCCCCCCATTCGTTTTTCCCTTCTTTCTCCTAATGTCCTCCATGCTATTCCTTATGAAATAAACCACATTTTTAAGTGCTCCACAGCCATGTGTAGGGAGTGGCTACTGTAGGGAACAGCACAGCAGAGGATCTAAAGAAATAGGAGACAGAACTGTTGCCTACAAGAAGCTAACAAAATAACAGAATAAATACCATAAAGTAACATAACTGCTGGGTGGAAAATACCATACATGCTATGGATCCAGGGGAGGAAGCGCTCCCTGTGGGAGTGAGTGTTGTCAAGGACATGGGCCTTGAGCTGCTACAACCTGGAGACAGAGAGAAAGGGGAGGGTGGTTGGGAGGGACTGAAGACATAAGCAGCGATGTGGGAAAAGGCCAAGAGGTTTGACTAGGAGGCAGAAAACCAGCCAGGCTGAAGGGGAGAGTCTGTGCAGAGGGAGCTGGAAAAGAATTTGAGAAACAGATGGTGAAGGACTATCAGGAAGGATTTTGGAGCAGGGGAAAACATGATGAAAGAGTTGTTTTAATCAACTAATCTTCAATAAAAAATGAAAAATAAAAACACAGCGTGGAGTAAAAAAGGATATTACAAAGCTGTCAAACAAAGACAATCAATGTGTATGCTTTTCTTGGTCTAAATAAATAATTCAAATTATGGGGGAAAGAAAAGAGTTGTTTCAAGTTTGATTTCAATACATGGAGAGAAATACAATGCTCCTGAGTAGGAAGACTGAACATTATAATACTGTCAGTTCTTCCCCAAACAAGTTTTAGGTTTAATATCATTTCAATTTAAATCCCAAGAAGGTTAAAGAACTTGGGCGGGGGGAGATTATTTGGAGGAATAAATGGATATGGACTGTGAAGAAAACTTTGAAAAAAAAATACCTGGGTATCTGCCTACCTGATTTAAAACCATATTATAAAGATAAAATAGGACAGAAGAGTAGATGACTACATCAAAAGAAAGGACAACAAAGTGCAGAGAGAAGTAGAACATAATCTATAATTATGAATTTAACATACCATAAGGTGGCATTTGCATTTCTTCTCTGGCACTAATGTCCTCAGCCCATTTTCTATTAGGTTATTCACTATTTTCTTCTTGATTTATGAGCTTGTTATGTATTCAGGATGACCCTTTATTAGTTATATAGAGGTCTTTTAACTTTATTTATAATGTTCTATGATATACAGAATGTTTAAATGTTTTATTTGATGAAATATCAATCTTTCATTTTATGGTTTCTACTCTTGGGTGAAGGAGACATAACTTAGAAAACACCTCTATTTTCTTCTAAAATGTTATTTTTTTATATTAAATATTAATGTGAAATTTATTTTATTATAAAGTATGTGATGAGGATCTAACTTATTTTCATAGTGGTTAGCCATAGATTTAAATCTCCTTTTCATATACTTAATTATTACATATGTTTGGGTTTGTTTTTGTACATCTATTTTGTTCCATTGATCACTTCCTCCTCCAATACCACACTTTATAATTTTCAAAGCTTTAGAATATATATTAATATTTGACAACATAATACCCCATCCTAGATGAAAATGGGGAAAAAATCCCAATATTTTATTCACCTCAGGGCCAAAATCTATTTTGATAAAGTACTGTATTCTTATTTTAAAGAACACACAAACTGGACATGAAAATTTATAAAGCATAGGCAAAAAAAAAAAAAAAAAGCACCAGACAAGAGGATGGAATAAAAATCCCTAAAAAAATAATATGATAACATTTGATAGGCATGCAATGCTTCTTGTTGTGTAAGAGCTAGACATTTTTGCACGGTGTTACCCTTTCCTTGTGCAAAAGCAGGGTGTTCAGACAGGTATACTGTATCTGGCTGAGCTGTCAGGCTGCAGATACCTGAGTATGGCCCCCTGTGTTTGTTCTGGGGACTCTGCCCTTCTGAGTTGCACTCCCAAGTCCACAGGCTTCTAGGGTTTTGGCACCTGGGAATAAGGTGGTGGTAGCAACACCGCTGCCTTCTGACCTAGAGTGTTTTTTCCCCTGCTGATGGACAGAAACCCAAAGTGAGACACACAGGCTCCCCTTAATGGCTTTTCCTTGGTAAAACATCTCCTCATCATAGTTTCCTAAAAGGTCTTGGCTCTTCTAACTTACTCATTCTTCCAGACTGGAGGATGCACAGAACTCTCTGCAGTTGGGGGAATCACATTAGAGGCTTTTACATAGACAGACGTCCCCCACTTATCTGAACTCTTGCTACTCATTATCTGAAACTCCTGGACCATATACATTTGGATAACTGATATTCCTCACCTTCAGAATTCAGGAACTGTATAAATTCAGACAGTGAAGGACAGGTGTATTATGGGGGCTGGAACATTTTAGGGAAGAGTCCATTGGTCTCTATCAGCAGCTGACACCAAAAGTAATGAAGAACAGCAGGGCTCCCCATGGTCCTTCTACTGTGTCCAGTAGACCTAAGGACTCACAGAGACTGATCTAACAAGAATTCTCAAAAAATGAAACTGGTAGCCAAGAAAAGTTCTACAGAATGAAGCTGCAGAAAAATGGCAGCCCAGGAACACATGAACTATGTGTAACTCAACCAACACAGTGAATCTTGGGTCTCTCCAGGTCCACCTCCACCAGGTAAGGGATTGCTAAGGCCACAGCCTCTGCAGAGGTATCAGGGGTATCTTCCAAATGTTCCTCTTCCCAGATATGGTCCTAAAGCCCACGAGACAAGGGCAATCCAGTCAGAGGACAGAATCTGGAGTAGCCAGATAGGACAGCCAAGAAATACATTTCACCATTAAATGAGTGGATGATGGAATGAGAGTCACTAATCCTATAATTCCATTTACAATCCCCTTCTGATAGGGTATGATTTATGTTCTGGACTGGCAATCAATTTATGATGCTGGCTTGGAAATTTCTTTCTCTTTTCTTCTTTGCTCAACTTAATTTTTATTGCAGCTTACTATTTTAGTTCTTCCATTAGATATCAGATAAGTGGGAGAAGTCAGTTCTTTCACTGAGTCCAGTGACTGCACACCTGAAATGGATAAAGACCAAAACAGAAGAGTAGTAGACATAACCTAGAGGCTTGGTAATGAACTTGGAAAATAAATGGCTTCATCAGATTGTCCCTGGATGTTGTGACTGGATATAACTTTGGGAGAAGTGTGTGAGTATGTATTTGGGAGAGCCAGAGAACATTACTGGGGACAGCTTTAGAATGTATAAACAGGGATAAGGATGTGTGTGTTGCAGGAGAGGAGTGGTGGATAGCCAAGGAGTAGGACGTTCAGTGGACTTCTTTAGAATTACCTAACTTACAGTCACACACAGGGATGATCCTCAGCAGACATGTTTGTACTATGGGACTTCATTTCCCTAGGCACAGCTGACAGTCCCATAGGATGTACCTGCCCAACTCTCAGATATACAGAATTCAGAATAGAAGATTTTAGTTCAGATTGGGCTGGTTTCCCTCCTGTGAAAGACTTTCTCCATCACCAAGAGAATAGAAGCCAAGCTCCTTAGTGGTACATACAAGCCCATCCATCCCTTCAACAAATTCTTAGTAAGAACCTATTATGCACTGTTTTAGGCACTACAAATAAAACAGAGAATGGGATGAGAGTTTCACCTCTTAAGGAACTTACATTCTAGTAGTAGAAACAGACAAGTATTTCTCCTGCTAGCAGTAAGTGCTATGAAAAAAATTAGAGCAGGGAAAGGAGGTAGAGAGTCATGAGGGTGGTGGGGTGCTCTCTTAAATAGGATGGGCATGCAAAGCTGTGGAGGATACATTTGAGAGAGACTTGAATTATGGTGGGGAAGTGAGAAATGGGAGGCAAAAAGAAACACCCCGAGGCAAGGACAGGTTTGGGGGCTTGCTGACCCACAAGGCAGTGAGGGGCAGCAGAGTCATCCAGATGGGCAGGGACAGGATCAGATCAGGACACAGGGTGCACTGTAGGCCACAGTAAAGAGATTATTCTGAAGGTAATGAGAGACTATTGAAGGGCTCTGTGTAGGAGAATCACATTTGCTTTTTGTTTTTAAAGATCATTTTGGCTGCTGTGCAGGCTTGTCTGTATGAGACGTTAGAGTAGGAGCCAGACTAATATTCTAGGCAGGAGATGATGGTGCATTGCATGGTAGTGCAGGTGAGAAGTGGTCAGGCTCAAGATATATTCTAAAAACAGAACTGATTGGTCTGACTGCATTAGATGGGAAGTGAAGAAGAAAGAGAGGCACTGAGGGCAGTGCTAAAGGTATTGGCCTGAGCAACTGGATGAATGGAAGGGGGAAGGCTGGTGGTTGAACAGGTTTGGAACGTGTGGGTATATGCAGGGAAATGAGAATTCTCTTTGGGACATACTCAGTTTGAGATCATTCTAGGCATTTATAGAGTTGGTTATACCAGTCTGGAGTTTGGGGAAAAGGTCAGGATAGAACCTCATCTCCAATAACATTCTATAGATAACACTAGCTGAATGAAAACATGCAACTGCTTGACTTAAGGTTGCCAACTGACATTTTGTGGCTGGTGCCTTTTTGTCTCATCACCTCTGTATGCCAACACCCTTCCACCCTTTCTACCTCTGGTTGACTCTTGTCCTTTAAAACTTAGGGCATCTTTGCCTCCATAAAGCTTTCCCTAAACACCAGGCTGAGTTAGGAACCCCTCAGTTGAGCCTTTGTGGTTCTTACCAGGTATATGCAAGCTGCCTTTTCAATTCTCTAAGGCGGGGTCTTCCTAACTCATCTCTGTATCCCCAGTATCTAGTCCTGAGCCTGCCACACAGTAGGGAGCTCTACACCTATTTGAGCGAAGGGAAGGTGCAGACTCACAAGACTGTTGCCTTATTCACAGAGAGGGCCGTTGAGGATTTGAACTACTAAATGGAAAGGAGTGGATGGTTCCCTAAGAGTCACATTCTCTACGAGAACTTTGCCAACTGCTTCCTGACACCCACTTCTTTTCAGGAAGGGGTCCACCTCCCTTCCTACTTCTCCCATGCCATTTCTCTGGCAACAGTCTTAGGAGTGGGTGGACTGCACGTGGAAAGTAAACCCACCCGAGTTGATGTCGACTTCCCTTGATGCCTCTATTCTCAGTGGTGTAGGACAGTAGCAACGGGCGGTCCATCAGCAGTGGGAGAGGTAAGCGGAAGACACACCATCGCACGGGAAGCTCTAGGTAGCGGTCTGGGAACAGAGCCCCCGTGGAATTGCCCCCAGGGCCGCTGGAGGTGAATGCAGACTAACCCCGCTCGGTCGCCAGCGCTGCCTCAGGGGCTCAGAAGGCGGGTGGGGGTGGAGGGCAGCAGCCAGCGAGCAGGCCCGGGACCCGCCCTGCGGTTGCCAGGACACTGCACCCCTGCCACAGCGCACGCGCGCGATGCGCTCGGGCGGTACTCACCGGTGGGTTGGGGGAGCTGGTGCTGGGCGTCCTGGGCCTCGGACCGGCTGGCTCCGTGGGCTGACTTGGCCATGGAAGACGACACTTGGTCCATGGCTGCAACCTCAGCGGGTGCTCGGTGGCTGCGCGCAGCGCCTGCACTCCCGGAAGTTCACGGGCAGCTGCAGTTTCGTTTTCGTAAAAGCTACGATGACCGATTTCCCCTGCCTAGGGGAAGTGCTGAGCAAGAGACATGTAAGGTTTGCAGACGGAGTTTTCATTCAAATAGGAGCTCGCATCTTCCACAGATCTGAGTCTGATTTTTTTTAATTTGCAGGCGATCCCCACTTTTCCTCTCCAGATGGGGAGGAAAGGTGGCCCAAACCCCTGGGATCAGCTGGAGAAGTGATTGCTCTTCTGAGGGATTACTCGTTTCTTCTAAAAATTGTATAACACCAAATTTGGCCTAAATAGGTATGTCATAAACGTAGGCAGAATTAACCAACTGTAATTCCAGCTGCGAGTCGCAAATCTTTATTTAGCACCCATGGGGTACACAGCACCATACAAGACGAGGTTTTCAGTGCATGTAACAAAATATACATGTAGAGAACACAAATGCATAAAATTACAGATAAAAAAAAAGTTTTGGAAAAGAAGCATATAATAGTTGGTGGTTTGCTGAGGAATTAAAGGAAAACCTTGCATTTTGAGGTTTTATTACTATTATTTTTTGCATTTTGAGGTTTAAAGGGAAGAGAGGCAAACTGGGGATAGTAGAAAAGAGAATATGTAAAAAGATAGCTTGGATAGTCTTGACAAATATAGAAATGGATTACAGAAGAATGGAGCTCAAAGGGGAAATAAGAACACACTCTGGCAGCCCCGTTTTTGCCCGTCAATCAGCCAAACAAAGCCCTAAAAGAGACAATTAGAGACTGATAGCTCAGCTCGGTTATGATGTGACACTTGAAGAGACCCATCTCCCACTCTCAGCTTTCAATCTCAGCCTTTTATAGTGTTCTACTCTTATGTGTAGACTGCCAAGATCACAAACTGAGGAAAGCCTATAACATGAAAAACAAAGACCAAAGGATACATACAGGGAAAACAAGAAATAAACCTTCGAAGTCACAAAATATGCAGGAAGAATATAGATATGAATGCGTGTGTACACATCATGGTATTTTCAAAGAGATAAGATACTACAGACATGAACCCAAAACAGGATGCTGTTAAAGAAATCCAGAGAAGAAAAGAGAGCTCTAGAAATGAAGAATATGAGACCAGAAAAAATAAAGCACAACTGACATATTGGAAGATTTAAATTGAGAAAATCTCCCAGAAAGTACAGCAAAAAGATAGCTGAAAATAAAGAGAAAATTTGGGGCACGTGGCTGGCTCAGTTGGAACAGCATGCAACTTTTGATCTCAGGGTTGTAAGTTTGAGCCCCACATTGGGTGTAGAGATTAAATAAGTAAACTTGAAAAAAAAAAATCACAACTCTAAAAAAAGAGAGAAAAGAAATTTAGAGAGCCAATCCTGGAAGTCTAACATCTGAATAACAAGAGTTCTATAAAGAAAGAAAGAATGAACAAATGAAGAATCACTAAAGAAATGGTTCAAGATAATTTCCCTGAAGGACAAAGATTTCAGATTGAAAGATCCCACCAAACACCCAGGATGAAGGATGCAAATGGACCTTACCAGAAACAGAACACTGGACAAAGATAATTCTGTCAGCTTCGAGAGAGATAAAAACTGGTCATACATACAAAGATAAGGAAGAGAATGACATCTGACTTTAGTAGTCACCATGGAAGCCAGAAAGGAGACCATTTTCAGATTTCACAGCAGCAGCACTGGAAGCTAGCAGAAGCCTTCAAAATTGTGTATGGAGGTTACTCAAGAATTCTATACACTGAAAAAAATAGCAACCAAGTTAAGTGTAAGAGTAAAATAACATGTTCAAACATGCAAGGTCTCAAAATATTTACCTCTCAATTTTCCTTTTCAAAAACAACTGGAAGATGTCCTTCACCAATATGTGGGAGAAAACCAAGGAAAAGGGAAATAATGGAATTTAACTGGAAACAGATCTGACATAAGAGAGACAAAGGGAATCTCTAGGACATTGATGGAGGGTGACAGCTGTGAAACAGATCAAGATGTCAGGATTTATGTACAAAAATATTTCCCATACTTATCAAGTATCTTCACTTTCAGTATACTGCCTAAAATTTCTACATCTTTACTGCAAATAAATGGACTTAACTTTCCTCATCTTAACAGGCTATTAGGTTATAACTTTTTGCTCCTTTTCCTAGTTCATCGGTTTCCCTTTCTCTAAAACAATTTCAAGTTAAATTTTCATCTAGTTCAATATTTTTAAGCAATTAAATTGGGTCCAAAATTAGAACACAGTTTTATTTGAACAGTAACCAAACTAAACCCAGAATCGAGTATAGAAAAAAAGAAAGAAAAAAGACATAAAACTTCTCAAAAGCCAGAACTACTTTTAATTAAATACTTCTTTTTGAGCTAGTATTCCTCTTCTGGTTCCAAGGGGGAAGTTCCTGGCAGCCAAATGTAAAACTTTGTTATGGATAAAATTAGTTTTGACACCTGGAGATTCCTAGTCCCTTTTCCACTCCATGATCAGGGCTGCGTAACCTATAGCAGAGTATTACTCCCTTTCTCTCCACAAACGCAATCTGCACATCATACCCAGGAGAATCCAAGAAGCTGTTCCAGACTTTACAAACTCAGTGGAATTGCTTTGTTTTGTTTTATTAAGTGAAATTCTTGCCCAGCACAATCCCTCCTGGAGGGCCTAAATAAGCCAAGTCTGACTAGTTTCTAAGTTTTCTTATGGCTCTCCTCTACCTAGAACAAAAATATTCCAATTCCTCTGGGTTTTTATTCCCTCTTTTCTTGTCTATGTTTGCTGGAGTAGTAAGGAGAATCTGTGGAAAAGAAGTTCCATCTCAAAGAATTTGCCAAAACCCTCCCAATAGGAGAGCTTCTCCCTCTTAGCAGTCAAATGGTTTGATGAGACAGAGTTGCATGCAGCTAGAGCTTCTCCAACTAGTGTTAAAATACTTGGAAGTAATATGTGTAAAGTTAGTTCTTACATATTCTTCAGGCTGTGTTGCCCACCTATGGCTCATAATGGTAAATTATTTGCCAAGAATTAAGCATAAATTTTGTAGGTAAAGATGTGAAATTTGGCCCTTTGGGGGCATGAACTCAAAGATAATAATCACAAAAGTAAATAAGAACAATTGAATTCTATTGTAACATTTGTTTCTCTTAATATATAATTTACAAATAAGTTACAAACTGTATAATGGTATTTCATATAAAATATACACTTCATCCCACTTGTGTAAAGTTGAATAGCAGAAAGAATAAAGAGATAGCCTATGCATATGAAAATGTCCTTATTTTGTTCCTAGCATTTCTAAGTCATACAAACGAATTCCCTGACAAGGGTAAACTGAGAAGAATTCTCTTGATGGATCACAGCCCAGGTTAATTCCACTGATGACTGAAGGTTCTCCTGCATGGCTCTAATTGCAGCGCGATAAGCTAATCTCATCAATAGGCATTAACTAAAGATTTATAATATTTTCTTCCTACACTTATTAACCCCACATTGGCAGAGGATTTCTTTCTCAGGCATAGTCCCAGCTTCATACCCATAATCCCATGTTAGTTCTGTTCTTGCTTTCACATACCTAGAAAGTAGAAATTAAAAAGCAAACATAAATTACTCTGAGTAACTACCAAATGAACCAAACTTGATTATATCAGTTTATTAACATCACTACAAATCTTCAAAAATCTGGTTTATTCTAACACCCCCCAGTTAGGAATGCTCTTTTATTAAGAATAATCATTTGAGTTTTATTTCAAATCTACCAAAATCCTAAGAAACTTGTCAATATCCAGGAGAAAGGAAGTGTTTTGCAAACAGTGGAACCCAGCGATGTGATGACATCTGTGGTATGAGGCCTGTGGTGTGATAGCTGGAGGCAGTTCTGACTTACAGGAGATGTAGCATTCTACATCATTTCTTCCCTGAACTGAACTGGGTCAGAACTACCATCCTTAGTCCTTTCAGGAATTCTCACAGGAAATAAGGACTGAAATTTTAGCTGTTTAAAATTTTATTGACTAGGAACAGTTTGGGATAAATGAATATTCTAGGGTAGCAGATATTAGGGGCTATCACACATATTTTTTTTAATCACACATATTTTAAAAATATTTTTCTATTGTTATTTTTCACAATCTCAAAATTAAATCACATAAAAGAAATTTCAAACCTGTTGGTGAAGAACGCCACCAGTGGAAAATTCCTGTCACGTGTTTCTACAAAAACATTCTGTACCAAAAGATTTGGGCAACAACTATGCTGTTAAAACAAATACATAAACACAGAAGTTAGATATAGTAAAGAGTTTGATACTTTGTTTTTGAAACATTAAAATACCATTCTGTTTCTAACACGTCTCACTTATTTTTGTTTCTTTCCCTTTTTTGCTGACCTATATTGTAAAATATCATAAAGTGTAATTTTTTAATAGTAGGAACTCAATCAGAAAAGCCCTCTTCTGACATTCTTATCTTGCTGGTAGAAATGCAAAATGGTACAACTTCTATAGAAGATAATTTGTCAATTTTATCATTATTATAAAAGCATTTATCCTTTGATTCAGCAATCTTATATCTGGGAATGTATTCCACGGATATATATGTACATGTATCTATGTGTTTGATTATTCATTAAGCACTGTTTTTTTTTTAATTTTAATTTTTTTAAAGATTTTATTTATTTCTTTGACAGAGAGATAGTGAGAGCAGGAACACAAGCAGGGGGAGTGGGAGAGGGAGAAGCAGGCCTCTCACCGAGCACGGAGCCCGATGTGGGGCTCGATCCCAGGACCCGGGGAACATGACCTGAGCTGAAGTAGATGCTTAACGACTGAACCACCCAGGCACCACAAGCACTGTTTTTAATAGTAAAACATTACTGTTCTAAACATTGTTTAGAAACAACCCAAATGTCTATCCAAAGAAGACTGGTTAAATAAACTCTGGTATATCTCTATGCAGTTGTAAACAAAAACAAACACAAAATGAGGCGCTCTCTCTGTGTACTGATATGGAAAGATCCCCAGAGTATATTGTTAATTTAAAAAGAAAGGCACAGAACAGTGAATATAATATGCTTTTATGTAAGAAAGGGGGGAAATAAGTATATATATTCACTTATATAGAAACACTATACTTATACACTATACTTAAACACTTATAAAGAAACACTATAAGAATACACAAAAAGTAATAAAAATGATTTTACTATATAGAGAGTGGAGTGGGGACAAGGTGAATAGAGGCATAGTTATTTTTTAGGGTATTTTTTTTTAACAGAAGAAAAAAGATTAATACGAAGAATGTATGTGACTGAGTTTTACACCATTGTCAAACAGACCCTCCAGAAAGGGGACATATGTAAGCAATTGATGTCTCTGCTGAACATAACCATTAGTTATCCTTATTCAAGGCTTTTAACATGATACTATTTTATCCAATTACCACCATTCCAATATTGTTGTCTATTGGCCACTAGCACCCATCTCCACACATTCATCTATGCCAAATTCATAAAGGGACCAAATCCCAGCAATACTCCTTGAACATGCCTGCCACCATTCAATTTCAATGATAACTTCCTGTCCATACATTTTTTTCAGTTGGGCTGGTAACCTTTACTTATCTACCATGAGTAGAGGCAGGCTTGGAGCTACCTTGAAACAGAATTTTGTTCGGCTGTATGTATGTATTCTGTATGGCTTTTTATTTCATGTATTCATTTTATTTTTATTTTTAAATCATGAATGTATTTTCTATGTAAAAAAAAAAGAAAGGAAGGAAAAAAAGAAAGAAGGAGAGAAAGAAAAAGAAAGAAAGAAAGAAAGAAAGAAAGAAAGAAAGAAAGAAAAAGAAAGAAAGAAAAAGTGAAAGTCATACAACATAACTGACAGGAAATAAAGCCACGACAGTCCTTTGCTGGGGATCCTTCTTTAATGGCTCTCCAGACATGTTTAATGGCTCTTGACATGTTTGGCAATAGTGTAGAAGTAGTCAAAGTGGAATAAAGAATAGCAGCTGGGGGACAGAAGAAGAAAGGAAAGGATTCTATTTCTTGTTAACCAAGTATCCTCCCAACTAGGAGAAAAAGAAACAAACCAAATAAACAGATCACCTAGCAAGGAAAAAGTTCTTTGTTTTTAAAGATTTTCTGACTTCAGGTGGGGGTGGGGTGATGGATATTAAGGAGGGCACTTGTGATGTGCACTAGGTTTTGTATGTTAAGTGATGAATCCTAAATTCTACATCTGAGACTAATATTGCACTGTATGTTAACTGGAATTTAAATAAAAATTTGAAAAAGAGAAAAAATTTTCTGACTTCAGAATCTTTTTCTCTTCTGATAGCAGGTGAATTACATGACTGCACATAAATTTCAAACCATTCAAAGCAGCACAGAAAAATAGTTTAGAAATGTGAATCTCAGCCCATATACTCACATTAAGGAAGCGGCCCACATTCCCTTCTTTTGTGGCATCCAATAAAAACACGTTCCCTTTATTAAACTTCTTTAGAGAATCAGGTGAAATATTCTTGGTTTCACTTGGGAACTCTTTTTCACAAAAGACTTGATGGTTTTGATATGCTGGAGATCTTTCCTCTTGGGGCTTTTGCATTTGAGCCTTGAACTCCTTTGTAATACTCTGTTTATCCAATGTGGCTGCTTGGTTACATCTGCCCCCTGATGGAGTTTCTTCTCTACATTTAGTTATATCTATCACATCTGATTCAATCTGCAGATTGTCTTCAGAGTCTTTAACTTGGTAGGAGCTTGAATCCTCTAATAAATATTTTGGAAGGAAGTGTCAGCAAATATACTTGGCTGATCAATAGTCCTGTGATTAACATACTAATTAAATGCTAGTTGCTTTAATTATTGCTAATCCTTACAATGTATGAAGGTAGATAGTACCCCAATTTTACAAATGAAAACTGAGCCTCTGAGAGGGTAAGAGATTCACCTGACCTGTAACATAATGAGAAGTGGGGTAAGAAACCCAGAAGAGTCTCAAATGTTTGAGAAAAATCTGGCTCCAGGTCTGCCTTCTTTCTACTCCCTTTTTACGAATGTACCTATTGCCTCCTGTCACTACTATATTTAATCTCTACTCCTCATAAACTTACCTCTCTTCAACTCTGGAATCTGCATTTAAGTACATTCTTTTTTTTTTTTTTTAAAGATTTTATTTATTTATTTGACAGAGAGAGACACAGCGAAAGAGGGAACACAAGGCAGAGGGAGTGGGAGAGGGAGAAGCAGGCTTCCCGCGGAGCAGGAAGCCCGATGCGGGGCTCGATCCCAGGACCCATTTAAGTATATTCTAAACACTTGTAACAGAGTAGGTATTTAGGGAGTAGGCCTTTAGGACACCAATGAACGGCCTGAGAAGATCCTCTTGGCGTCACCCTCAACAAGTCCCAAGAGTAATAACTGTATTGCTATGGGTTTTGCACACATTAGTGTTTGAAGGTTTTGCTAGATGACCATTCAATATTTATACTTTTACAAACAATAATACTTTAGAATAAGATGAACTGCCTTAATCATTTTTCTTATCCAATAATGGAAATAATTTTTTAGGATATTCAGAAGTGTAAATGCTTGTCAAATGGAATAAGTAAAATCATTTATTTTTATTTTATTTTATTTATTTTTTTTAAAGATTTTATTTATTTATTTGAGAGAGAGAATGAAGAGAGCACAAGAGGGGGGAGGGTCAGAGGGAGAAGCGGACTCCCCTCTGAGCAGGGAACCCGATGCGGGACTCGATTCTGGGACTCCAGGATCATGACCTGAGCCGAAGGCAGTCGCTTAACCAACTGAGCCACCCAGGCGCCCCAAATCATTTATTTTTAAAAAGTCACTTGTGCCACCTACCTTAGTGGCACAAAGAAATTGTATTTCTCTTAATGTTCTTGATCTAATCATTACTGTTACTGCCTGCTGTTCCTACATGTTCTCATATTTTAATTATGGGTTACTTGTGAACCATAATAGTACATAACTGATTTTTGTAGCGTCTGACACACACACACACACACACACACTGTAGCAGTTAATGAAAATAACAAAAGAACCAAAAGCAAGAGTACTCATTATGGCTCATATGCATTAAATGGTGAAGGAAATCAGAGTATGTCATGCCAAAATATGCTTCCTTGACATAAGAATTATTTTAAGCTAAGAGTGATTAAGTAGCCTATGCAGGAAAAGTTCTTTGCTTTCCCCCATCTGTTTAAAAGCAGTACATAAATTTACAAAGGTGTCCTCCCTCCTCCTACCAGGAAGGACAAAAGTTACAACCAGCAACAGGTTTAGACCTTGATCAGCCCGGAAATCAAACCAGAGGAATCTACATAAAAACTTTACTAACTAGCCTTTATCCACTATTGGTTTCCCATATTTTACCTTCCCACAATATGCTGCCCCTGGAGACTCAAGGTCCTTTTCCTTTGTCTTGTCACTCCTCTAAAAATTTATTGTTCTTTGGCAAAGATGCTAGATAAGTCAGAGCTCTAAGCTACTTCTTTTTTTTAAGATTTTACTTTTGAGTAATCTCCAAACCCAACTGGCCTCGAACTCACAACCCCAAAGATCAAGAGTCACATGCCCCAATGACTGAGCCAGCCAGGCACCCCTCTAAGCTACTCCTTTATATTATTCATCTCTGAGTACTCCCATGTGTTACATACGTGATATACATGGTAATGGTGATACATGGTAATAAATTTCTGCTTGTTTTTCTCTTGTCGATCTGTCAGTCTAATTTACAAGGCCCCAGCTGTATAACCTAAGATGGGTAGAAGAAGAGATTTTTCCTTCCCTTTGATGATGAAATAATTATAATACATAAATGCCCTTTCTGATAGACCTTTTCTGTCAAGCAGCTGCCTTGCTCCCCAGCCTCAATCTCCATCCTTTAAGACCAGGTGAGGAGTTGGGGATACAGATGCAAAGAAACTCTAAAGGAGAAGAGGCAATGGCTCAGTTATTCAAAAACGGTCATCTCTCAGCAGTATCTCCCCAGTGAGGGATATTATGAAATGCAAAAGTACCAAAATCCAGGTTTGTCAAGTTGTAACATGAACTACTGTAGACTGGTAACACTGAAAGACAAGCACTCAGAATAGCAATATTTTTGCTTTTTGCTGAGCATCCCTACAGCACTGTTGGCTGGAGTACTGCAGAATGATGTATCTTAATTTTAAAGGAGCCCCTAACAAAGAGTTAGGAAATGGCTGCTTTGGACAATGCTTCCAAAGCCACACGTAACACTGTGGACCATGTGGACTCAGAGTTGTCTACCCTACTCCTTCCTGCAATGCCTCAGGGTCACTGTTGGCGTATAGACCAAGGGTTAGCAAACTACTTCTGCAAGGGGCCAAATAGTATTTTAGGCTTTGTGGGCCATATAGTCTCTGTTGTGACTATTCAGCTCTGCTGACATAATGTGAAAGTCATCAGAGATAATATGTAAATTAATGAGTGTGGCTATGCTCCAATAAAATTTTGTTTATGGACACCAAAATATAATTTCATATAATTTTTAAGTGTCACAATATATTATTCATCTTCTCATTTTTTTAAGTTATTTAAAAATGTAAAAATTATCTTAGCTCATGGGCCATACATAAACAGATGGTGGGCCAGATTTGGTTCATAAATTGTAGTTTGTCAACCTCTGATCTACATAAGTAATAACTTTTATAATGAATGCAGCTTGTTTGTTCTAAGTCTGAGAAAATAAGCCACAGGTATTGAACGAGACAGACAAAAAGGCAGAAGAGGGAGGCTATCACAGAGTGAAACAAAGCCTACTTTTCATTTCCTCGGCTTTGGAGTTCAGATGCACTTGGGCTGGTTTAAATCCATCATTATCTTCTGAGGTGACAGACTCTGAGGAAGCAAATCCCTTGAAAGAGAACAGGTAAGATGTCTTTATTTTCTAAGTCAGGAAAAATAATTTAATGTAGCAGTTAGACCTCTTTCGTCAAGTGTCAATCTGGCTGTAGCTACCACATTAGTTTTGGAAGCCTCAAAGCTGATACCATAAGGAATCTCTGGAGCGATGGAGCCCTTTTGGCTGTGTTCTACTTCTAGGCACTTTAGTAAGCCACATATTAAAGACTTTATTTATCAAGACTGTCAAGACATTCTTTAGGCATTAAAATTTAAAATAAAATTCAAAGACATCTGTATCCCTCAATTTTGATACCATATTATGAATTTGGCTTCAACTATAAGATGTGCAAAGATAAAAGCACACTTTAGCTAGTTTTTACTTCAAAGAGAAGGTTAAAGGAGTTGCCTGTCTTTATGAGTTGTATACAGGGCAATCACTTTATGTTAATAACTTTTAAAAAGGTGATAAGCTTAACACCACATTTGGCACTCAACTAACTGTTCAACTAGTGTTGACCATTATTATTATTATTATCATTATTATTATTATTCAAGTTACTTAAATGGTCAACATTTATTGAGCACTTGGGTGTCAAGCATTGTGCTACACAAAGTTTCTGAAGCTTATCTCATTTAATCCTCTTAACTCTGAGATAGATACTATATTATCCTCATTTTACAGATAAAGGAATGCAGACGTGGAGATGTCACCCAGGTGGAAAGCCCAGAGCTGGAGGTCAAACCCAGTTCTATGTGGTCTGATGGCCTAACCTTTTCATAATTATATGATCCTGAGGAGATACTTACTGTATGTGCATTACTAGGCAGAGGGCAAATATTTGCACATCACCTAGGGCAGAGTTTTTATTTCTCATCTACAAGCCCTACTGTGAACTATCTTTATGTCTTCCTCTGTTCTTTTTCCTGCATCTTTCTTTGCTTCCAAGTTATAGTCTCTGACTAGTTATTTTTCTCAGTACAGACTGAAAAGTATACCTTCTGAGGCTATCATGTAAAATGGTGTTTTCTGGATGATTCTTTCATTAGGCTGTGTCTATTCTTTCTCTTACATCTCTCAACCTTATCTCCTTAACCTGAATTACTCCATCTTTTTTCTTACTATGTATCACTATCAACTCTGGAACACTTTAGCTTTTCTATAAATTCTCAGAACTGGATAGCTCTCAGTTTCAGTGGAACACATTGTCAGATCATGACCAACACTCTCCTTATGTATCTAAGTTGGGAACATGTCAATGACCATGGAGGACACTAAGTAAATAAAACATGGTCCTAACACTTCAAGAGTACGCCCATTCCAAAATAATGAAAGAAACCCTACATTATTAAGTTACACAAACAATTGGAGCTAAGTAAAAGACAGAAAGTTAAGATCACAGTTAATGTTCTCAGAAGGGCCCCATCTACATTTTGCAGTTTTTACCATCCTTTTCCCATTGCGTTGAATAATGGCTGTCTTCACTTTAGGACTTCTAATGACTGAATGATACTGAATTCTTGAAATATTGTTACATTTCATTTCTCTGAAAAGGAAAAAAAAAGTTATTGTATATATCACTAAAAATTCTCTTTATTGGACCTTGAAATAAAGATATCACTGTTATGTAAGTATCCATTAGAAATTAATCTAATACACCTACGCTTATCCCCCACTAAAGAAGGAAATATATTTTAAAGTCAATCATTTTTGAAGTATGTTTAGAAAATAATCTGTGAAAAGGTTTGTAAATAAGATGCTAGAAAATAAAAAGGACAGCAAAAGTTATGACATCCATAAAGACTCTGATTAAAGGCATAAGTCTTTTAAAGGTAAAACTCCAGAAATGGAACACAGGAAATTAAGTATGTTGGCTAGCTTTTAAAATATAAGCATTCTAGATTTCTCAGAGTTAAACTTACAACCGTGAAGCAAGCCGATATATAGGAGATACATAGGAGTTCGGGGGAGGGTGAGTAAGAAACAAAGAGAACCATTCTTAATAATACAGATCAATCTTGATTGGGTTCCTAATATCTTACTTACATAACAGGCTCTTTTAAATTATTATTGAACGTAGGGGGACACTCCTCAGTCTCAGCACTTCTATGTGTTTCCAGTTCTAATGGGATAACTTCAACCTCACAATCTGCAACTTCTATTTTCCTCTTTTTCGAAAACATATTTTTCATAATATTCTCTTCTTTTCCATTTTCATCAATAGCATCAGGTTTCTCAGTGTTAGATCTGCTTAGTAATCTTCCTAAAAGAAAAAAAGTAAGAGTTTAATAAGACAAAATATAATTGCTAAGCAACAGAAGAACATCTCTATTCTGCTCCATTACTAAAGAACTCTATGAAATGTACCATATTTCTATAATGAAAATAAACACAATAACTCATCCTAGGAAACTCTTGTAAGAAACTATAAACAAAACACCAGTAAGAGATTTCATATCTTCCAGTATATGAGAAAAAACACTGACCACCTAAAAAAAGCATTTGTCTGTTCTGGTATAAAATGAAAGAGAACAGATTTAGCTACAATAATAAAAATAAAATCAGAATGGATTCTAGAAAATTAGAGAGGTGAACTCCACTCTTTTTATTTTTTAAAGATTTTATTTATTGGGGCGCTTGGATGGCTCAGTTGGTTAAGTGTCTGCCTTCAGCTTAGGTCACGATCCCAGGGTCCTGGGATTGGGCCCTGTGTTGGGCTCTCTACTCGGTGGGGAGCCTGCTTCTCCCTCCCCCCTCTGCCTGACGCTCCCCCTGCTTGTACTGTCAAATTAAAAAAAAAAAAATTATTTATTTGAGAGAGAGAGAAAGTGAGCACAAGCAGGGGGAGGGAGAGAGGGAGAAGAAGACACCCCGCTGAGAAGGGAGTCTAATGTGCGGCTCAATCCCAGTACCCTGGGATCATGACCTGAGCAAAAGGCCGATGCTTAACAGACTGAGCCACCTAGGCACCCCGTGGTGAACTCCACTCTTAAGACTGCAGCTTTTGTGTCTAGTTAAAATGCTTTATCAGTTAAAACTTATATATTTTTTAGGGGTGCCTGGGTGGCTCAGTCAGTTAAGCATCTGCCTTTGGCTCAAGTCCTGATCCCAGGGTCCTGGGATCAAGCCCCATGTTGGGCTCCCTGCTCAGTGGGGAGTCTGCTTCTCTCTCTCCCTCTGCTGCTTCCCCTCCCCCCACCCCCACTCCTGCTCTCTCTCAAATAAAATCTTTAAAAAAAAAAACACATTTTTTTATAAAGTGACCTATTTAAATCTGAGGTAATATGTGCCTATTGTTCTCAATATATTAAGTTCTAGTGTAATATTAAATCTTAAAGTTTATGCACTTTCTTTTAAGGGACCCAAAACTATAGTAACCAAGTCAAAACTAGCAGCTGAATCAGAGAGATACCTTAGGTACATTTTCTAGTAATGCAGACAAAGCCAATGAGACTTCCTGGACACCATGTGGCTCCTTATATAAGGCAGGTGACTTTCATCAAAGAGTGATTTTGAGAAATAGGAGAGATGAATGTGTAGGCAAATTGTGTAGTATGTGACAGGGATCCAAGTGCGGCTGTTATGAATTATATGAATTCTTGCTCTCACTGAAGTGAACCTGGAATTTCAGATAAGGATAGTTGCTCTGGTTCTGCTGCCTTGCTGCCAAGACTTGGTCCAGCACAATTCCTTTAGACTGGCTCCAGCGCCATGCTTCCTCAACCTTTCTCATTTCATGATGCACACAGGAAGTGAGGATTTTTACCTGATACTCCGGGGTAAATGGCTGAGACTACTAAGACTGATGTGTCTGGCCTACAGGTTGTGACCAGAAAAAATCAGTAATGGCACAACTATAAAATGGTGGTTGGGAAGTTTTGCTTAGAGCATGAGCAACTCTCTCGAGTCCCTGAAATGGAGGGAGCTGCTTAAAGATCACTGCCTGAATCATCCTGTACAGGTATTTATTACAGACTTAACTTGTTAAATTCTAAGAGTTCAAATTATTGAACAAGATAGTCTTTGATTGATAATCTTTACCCTAGCAAGTCAGTCATTTAGTTTTCTTATTCAAAAAGTCTTCTTAACTTATCCTAAAGCATCTGTAGCCATGGAGACAAGAAAAAAATATGCCTCACACAATAACCCAAGTTCTACCATTGAGACTTTCTTTTCTGGAATATCCGGTGTCTCCTCATCCCTTCAGTGCTCAACTTCCCAGTCACTTGCCCCCCTCTGATGCTCCTCCTCTATATTGTTGCTCCTGTCCTTACCATAAATCTAGTAAGATGGAGATTCAGGAATGCAGATCTTACTATAGTAATCTGAATAATGAACCTTTGCTTTACCTGAATAAATGCAAACAAATGTCCCTCTGTCAATGTCATCTAGGCAGCGTACTCCCCATCCCTTCTTCTCAGTTTTGAAGACCTGTAGCCTCACTTGAGGTCCATGCTGGACAACTCGGTTTTGACACATTCGTCGATTACACTTGCACAACAGGCTGCATTCATAAATGCTGTCAATAAAATATGCAAGAAAAAAAACCAATCAGATATCCTAAACTAAAAGCAAAAGCAGTTTATGCTGCTACCTCACTAATAATTACCACAGGAGGCCGACTAAGTGTGAAGGCTCCTAGACTCCCTGGATTCTCATCATAGCTCCAGCCATTTACTAACTGTGTGATGTTGGATGAGTTATCAATTTTCCATTTTTTAATGTGGGGATATATAATTGTACCTATCTTGTAGGGTTGTTTCATGATTAAATGAGTCAGTATTTACAAGGTGCTTAAGGCTATGCCTGGCACATAATATATGTTAGCTTTTAAAAAGTGTCTAGTGGGCGCCTGGGTGGCTCAGTCGGTTAAGCAACTGCCTTCGGCTCAGGTCATGATCCTGGAGTCCCAGGATCGAGTCCCGCATCGGGGTCCCTGCTCGGCGGGGAGTCTGCTTCTCCCTCTCCCACTCCCCGTTTGTGTTCCCTCTCTCGCTGTGTCTTTCTCTGTCAAATAAATAAATAAAATCTTAAAAAAAAAAAATAATAAAATAAAATAAAAAGTGTCTAGTAATGTCTAGGAAAGGAATGTCTAGGAAGAAAGCTTTTCTATGTATCTTTTAATAACAATTTTGAAAGTTTGAAAATTCCCAATTCTTAGATGAGCTTTGCAAATTATATTTCCTAATAGGGAAATTATATTTCCTAGCTGCCCAAAGTCTAACCCTAATGGGTAAGAGGCAGACTCAAAGCAGATAGGTGTTTAAGTACACTCTGCACGCTACGTGTGTGCTGACTTACATTTCTTTTTTTTCTGACTTCCATTTCCAAGAACAATATATAAGTTTGGTTTTTTATTCCTTAACACAGATTCTGGTATAAAAATTAATATTTAATGATATCTATAAGACTACAGACCACAACAATAAAGTACCCACCTTCAAAAATACAAACACCCTGCAACAAATCCTCAAGGTATCTTACCCAGTAGGTATTTGTCTCTGTAGTCTTTTATATTTATATCCAGTGGTTATTTTATTACTTGACAAGGGGCAAGTCTTGGCATTCCTCGCTGTCAGCTGAAGACATGCACATTTTGTTCTAAAAGGAAAACAATGGATGGAGAAGTTAGAATAAAAAAGTACCAACTTAAGAGAGTCTTGATAAAAATGTAAATGATATAGTAAAGGATGCAATTGTATTTAGAACAGTCACTTAGCTGATGGACAGTTGGACTTCTTCCCTAACAGAATAGGTCTCTTTAAAAGACAAAATCTACCAAAAATTTGTCAACAATTATAAACTGCCCTATACCTCTATTTACTCATGAAATACTTAAATATATGAGTTTTAATTTTTTTAAATGAATTCCTTTCATTTCCTATTCAGCAGAAGCTAATTTGTGAAAATTCTCCTAGGTCCTCTCTCCTATAATGGATAAACTTATGTATGTCACACTTGAAAGGGCATAGGTACTTTTGCATACATCTTAAAGTATCTCTCCCTCCAATAACATGAAAACAGACTGGGGAGATTGATGCTGGCCATCTGGCTACTACAATCTGTTTTTCATAATGTTGCTAAACAGAAGACACGCAACCATAGATTTTTCTCGTTCAAGATGGCAATGTAGGAAGACCCCAAACTCACCTCCTCCATGGACACACTATATCTACCTAATTATAGAGCAATGCCTCCTGAAGAAAAACTGAGGGCTGACTGAACAGCTTCTGCACAGAAAAAGAGAGACCACAGAGAGAGAGAGACAGAGACACAGTAACAAAGGGAACCCCCACCACCTCTGACACTTCGAACTGCAATGAGGAGGGACTGGTGAGCAGATTTGTCTGCCCTGGGGCACAGAAAAAAAAAAAAGCTGTGGCTTAAAATGACAACTAGAATATAAAGGAACTAGCCCTAGACCCCTGCCATTTGGCAGGGGAGCTGCTGGAACTCTCTCTGGGTTAGAAGAGCTGGCAAACGCTACGGTTTACGTTTCCTCTCTACCTTGCTAGCACAGATGAGAGTAGGGCCTGGATGTCCTAGCCAGCCTGCGACCTCAGCAAGCCTTGGACACCCTGGGGCACAGAAAAAAGCCTCAGTTTAAAAGAGCTACTAGGATATAAAGGACTCAACCCTAGAACTATGCAAAATGTCAGGGGAGCTGCTGAAACTCTCTCCAAGTCAGGGGAGCTGGTGAACACCATGGTTGATAATCCCCCTCCCTCTTGATACTGCAGACAGGGAAAGGGTCCAGGTACCCTAGTGGGTCTACCGCTGCAGTGAACTCTGGGGCCCTAACCCACACCAGCCCTAGCCATCCCATCAAAGCAGCCCCAGTGCAGCACACATTGCACACCTCTGGTCAGCACTCACTATAGCTCCAGCCATCTCGTCCAGGTGACACAGGTGCAAAGCATCCTAGAACAGTCCAGGCCCATACCACTTTGGCTCCAGATGGTGACTGCACACCCCTGGTGCATAGCATTCTAGAATGTCCTGACCCATGCCCTGCCTCAGCCCTGGCCACGCTACTAGAGCCCCGCTGAATAAAGAACCATGGGGACCCCTGGCCTCATACCCACTTAACCTTCTGCTGTACTCCCAGGGTGCCCTCTCTGTAAAGAGCCCTGGGACCACCCCAGCCCATACCCACTTCAGCTTTAGCTGTCTGGCCAATGTGCCATCTGCACTGAGAGCCCTTGGATTGCCCATCCTGCACCAACTTCAGCTCCAGGCATCCCACTAAGACAGCCCCAGCACAGAGTCCCCTGGGGCCTCCAGTCCACAATAGCCAGCCACAGCTCCAGTCAGCCAGCCAAAGTCACCAAGCCCACAGTCTCCATAGACACAACCATGCACAAGATCATTCCTTCTAGTTTAGGAGAAGCAGCCATTCTGTCTAATTCACAGAAACAAAGACAGAAAGTCAAGCAAAATGAGGAGACAGGAATATGCTCCAAACAAAGAACTACACAAAACCTCAGAAAATAAACTAAATGAAATGGAGATAAGCAATATGCCTGATAGTTCAAAGTAATGATCATGAAGATGTTCACCAGACTGCAGAGAAGACTGGATGAACTCAGTGAAAACTTCAACAAAGTGATAGAAAAATATGAAAAATAATCAGAGTTGAAGAATATAACGGAAATGAAAAATACTCTAGAGGGAATCAACAGATTAGAGGATGCAGAAGAACATATAAGCAATCTGGAGGATAGGGTAATGCAAACTACCCTAGCTGAATAATGAGAAGATAACAGAATTTTTAAAAAGGAGGATAGGTTAAGGGATCTCTTGGACAGTATCAAGTGAACAAACATTTGGATTACAGCGGTCCTGGAAGTAGAAGATAGAGAGAAAGGGTAGAAAACTTATTTGAAGAAGTAACAGCTGAATACTTCCCTAACCTAGAGACGGAAACAGACATCCAGTTTCAGAAAGCACAGAAAGTTCCAAACAAGATGAACCCATAGAGATACACACCATGACATATAATAATTAAAATGTCAAAAATTAAAGACAAAGAGAGAATTTTAAAAGCAACAAGAGAGAAGCAATCAGTAACATACAAGGGAAACCTAATAAAGCCATCAGCTGGTTTTCAGCAAAAACTTTGCAGGCCAGAAGGGAGTGGCATGAAATAGTCAAAGTGCTGAAAGAATAAAATCTACAACCAAGAATACTCTATCTAGCAAGATTATTATTCAGAACTGAAGGAGAGATAAAGACTTTCCCAGACAAAGAAGTTAAAGGGTTCATCACTATCGAACTGGCCTTACAAGAAATGTTAAAATGACTTAAGTTGAAAAGAAAGGACACAACTAGAAGAAAATTATGAAAGGGGACTCACAAAAATTAAAAGATATAAAATATGACAAGAGATATAAAATGAGGGAGGGGGAAGTAAAAATGAAGCTCATTTAGAATGTGTTCAAACTTCAGTGACCATCAGCTTAATGGTCACTTAACTGCTAATACTTAGGATGTTATATATAAAGATTTTATTTATTTGAGAGAGTGAGAGAGTGAGCACATGAGTGTATGTGTCGGGGGAGGGGCAGAGGGACTGGAGGAGCAGACTCCCTGCTGAGCAGGGAGACTGACACAGGCTCGTTCCCAGGACCCCAAGATCATGACCTGAGCTGAAGGCAGATGCTTAACCAACTGAGCCACCCAGGTGCCCCTAAGGATGTTATATATAAATTTCGTGGTAACCACAAACCAAAAACCTGTAATAGAGACACAAAAGAGAAAGAAAGAAAGCCAAGCCTAACACTAAAGAAAGTAATCAAACTTAAGTAAAGAGAACAAGAGAAGAAAGGAATGGAGAAGAACTACAAAAACATCCAGAAAACAATTAACAAAATGGCAATAAGTACATACCTATTAATAATTATGTTAAATGTAAATGGACTAAATGCTTCAATCAAAAGACATAGGGTGACGGGTGGCTCAGTCAGTTAAGCATCTGACTCTTGATTTTGGCTCAGGTCATGATCTCAGGGTTGTGAGACTGAGCCCCAAGTCAGGCTCTGTGCTGGGCTTGGAGCCTGCTTAAGATTCTCTCCCTCTCCCTCTACCCCTCCCTTCCCTCTCTAAAAAAACAAAAACAAAACAAAACAAAAAAAACAAGACTCATCTATATGCTGCCTATAAGAGACTTACTACAGACCTAAAGACATACAGACTGAAAGTGAAGAGATGGAAAAAGATATTCCATGCAAATGGAAGTGAAAAAAAAGCCTGCAGCAGCAATACTTATATCAGACAAAATAGACTTCAAAACAAAGGCTGTATTAAGAGACAAAGAAATGCACTATATAACGATAAAGGGATGAATCCGACAACAGGATATAGCACTGTAAATATCTAAGCACCCAATACTAGAGCACCTAAATGTATAAAGCAGATTTTAACAGACACAAGGGAGAAACAGTAATACACTAATAGTAGGGATTTTAACATCCTATTTACATGAATGGATAGATTATCCAGGCAGAAAATCAATAACGAAAGTTTCTTTGAACTATACATTAGACTGGATGGACTTGACATAAATAAATATATATAAACATTCCAGCCAAAACAGAATACACATTCTTTTGAAGTGCACATGGAACATTCTATATGATAGATCATATATCTCAATAAACAAGTCTCAATAAACTTAAGAAGACTGAAATCATATCAAGCATCTTTTCTAACCAAAATGGAATGAAATTAGAAATCACTTACAAGAAAAAAAGTGGAAAAACCCTAAGCATGTGGAGACTACACAACATGTTATAAACAACCAATGGGTCAATGAAGAAATCAAAGAGAAAATTAAAAAATACCTCTAAACAAATGAAACCTAATGGTCTAAAATCTTTGGGATACAGCAAAAGCAGATCTAAGAAGGAAATGTATAGTGACCTCAAAAAACAAGAAAAATCTTAAACAATCTAAACTTATTCCTAAAGGAAGTAAAAAGAGAAAACAAGACCCAAAATTAGTAGAGGAAAGGAAATAATAACGATCAGAGCAGAAATAAATGTAACAGAGACAAGAAAAAAAATAGAAAAGATCAATGAAACCAAGAGCCGGATCTTTGGAAAGGAAAAAAAAAAAAGAAAGAAAGAAAAACAAAACTGATAAACCTTTAGTCAGATTCATCAAGAAAAAAAGAGAGAGGATCCAAATAAATAAAATCAGAAATGAAAGGGGTTAAGTAACAACTGACACCACAGAAATACAAAGGATATGAAAAATTACATGCCAAGAAATTAGACAATGTAGAAGAAATGGATAAATTCAAAGAAACATAATTTTCCAAAAGTATATCAAGAAGAAATAGAAAAGGTGATTACTAGTAACAAAACCGAATGGGCATCAAAAAACTCCATTTAAAGAAGGGTTAATACTTATTCTCAAACTATTCCTAAAAACAGAAGAGGAAGGAAAACATCAAATACATTCTATGAGGCCAGCATTACCCAGATATCAAAACCAGATAAGGACATTAGAAAAAAAGAAAACTACAGAGCAATATCCCTAATGAACACAGATACAAAAATCCTCAACAAAAGATTAGCAAACCAAATTCAACAATACAT